ATTACAATGCTCCAGCGAGGTGAAGCAAGCAGCATTGACTTTATTTAGTGGCGAGTCACATCTTTCACTTCGCAGTGTTGTTACAGAGATATATGTGGCTTTGTATAGGCGAAAACCCACCGCGTCCTGGAACACTACCGCCGAACTTTTGCTGGAACAGGTAGATCCCGAGTAACCCAGCTGGCGCCACGAGGAGATAGTTCGGCAAGCCAGCCATAGAGATAGTGTGTCAGCTGAGGTGCGACCACCACCAGTCGCGCACGTGCTGAGTATACCGCGAGTACGCCCACCCCTACACGAATTCGAACCGGTGATCTTAGGATTGCAAGCCACGCGTGCAGACCACTCGATCACCGGCCGACCCAAGCTAGTCAGATGCTCATGGTACGTTTGCCCTCATAACTCATCGAACAACCTGGCATTCACTCGCAAACGCCTTCTCGAACTTCATTTTGTCCTGAACGTTGCAGGACGGGTAAGCCTAGACGCAATAGTTCAGATGAAGCCGAGGCATCAGCAGTACGCCGACACACAGTACCGACGCTTCGCTGCCGCGCAACCACCATCCGTCACACGTGGGCTAAAGATACTGCAAGGGTCGCCTGGTCTATACGCAGGCTCGAACCCGCGCTTTCGGTTTACGAGGCAGGCTTATGATCCTTAAGGCTACGGGCCAGCAGATAGAACCGTACGAAAGCTGAGAACAGCTTCACAAACATGTTGGCATCTAAAACTTCGGAAGCACAGCGTATTAACCACAACATGCAGTACCCCTACTTGCGGCCTTCCATTTGTCACACGAATGCCAAGTCGAAGAATGGAAGACACCTAGGTCAACTTGGTTGGAGAGGAAGTGAGTTCGACCCACCCGAGCAGGTAACTCAAAGGTGAGAAAGTAGCTCTTATACGAAGAACGGAACACAGCCTGATTGATTGGCAGCATCCACAAAGTAGACCACTCCCAAAGCCCATCCAGGGTGTGTTGAATGGTCTCAGGAACATTACACACGACCTAAGATCTTCGGCAAATAATAGCGATGGCACCCCAAACTTCCCAGGGTGGTCGTTTACGTAGATGAAGAAGGGTGGCCCAAGGGCCGAGCCCTCTGGGACACTGCTAAGGACTGCGACTCACGCATACAGATTACCCTCTTCCCTTCAAGAATGCAGACACCCAGTGAAGAGCGCGTCCAGGTACACCTTTTCCGATAGCTTCCATTGGGGTACCATGTTAAATACTTTCGAGAAGTCAACGAAAGCACTTCCACTGCGTGGCCATTGTTCACTGCCTCAGCCCAACTTTCACGAGTTACTAACACCTTTGTTAGACATAGAAACCCCTTCCGGAATCCTTGCAGTGCACTACTGAGTGGGTTAAATCTACTTACGCAATTTGACTGCGACGCTAGTTTGACTGGCCTATAATTGGTAGACAGATTCCTGTTACCGTTTTTAAAGATAGGACATGACAATTTCCTTCCATTCATAAAGTAATGTACAGCTGTCAACGGGCTTCTGAAACACGGCCCTGAGCGGTCCACTTAGTTCCATCGCAAACACATGCAAGAGCTCCGGGTGGGTTAAATCAGGACCAGCTGCTTTAGTAGAGTTCAGTTCTCCTAGCAGCTTGAGAACTTACTTTTACATCGCAGTAAATTTAACTAAATAAGAGCCCTCAGGGACTTTGGGTACAAGTTTAAGACGTCGGTGCAGTATTACATGCAAGAACCCCTGCATACTGCCTACCAACTACACAATCCTTGTCAGAATGAGCATATATACTAACTCCATCGGTCCGCATCAACGCTAGAATTGCCGAATTTATACCACACTGCCTCAGCCTAAATGAAGAACTTCGCATTTTTCGAATCTCTGTCCACCAAATCCTTTTCTTACAACAGCCGAGCTTTCCTTAAGTCTTGTTTGCATTCATTTCTAGCCTCGCGGTATCTATTATAGGTGCTAGTTGGTGGAGCGACTCGGTAAGTTCTCCAGCACCTAGACCAGTTTGTGAGCAGATACCTGTCCATGGTATCTATCCACGGCGCTGTGTTCGTGCCTCCTCCCCGCGAGCGGGTTGTAACGAGCCAACACTTCCGTGAGATAAGACTTAAAGTTATCCCTGTTTATCTGAACTGTATCAGTCATAGAGATTTCGCAACGCAAACCTGAAGCCTTGATTCGCATTGCTTAGTAGTTCACACACCATATCTTGGGGTATGGCTCAACAATGCTCTGGTGACGTTTGTGTAGGACACAGCTAAAGGATAATCAAACACGACCACTAACACCTAAATGAGAGCCATAAGCAATCCTTAACGAAGTCGAGTGACTTAGCAAAAACGGTCAGAAATAGAGGACAGCTGGGCGTACATATACCTGTTGGGGTTCCCGAACTGATACAGTGGAACTTGTATTAAAAGCCCAAGAAGATCCGCATCGAAGTATTTATTGCTAAGCTGCATGGTAGCAAATCTATGTGAGATTGAAGTTACCCAGCACCAAACACCTCTTTGCAGTCTGGGGGCGGATAAATTCTAGCGCCTCCTTGGATATACTACCAGGGCTTCCACGGACAACTACAACTAAATTGAGCCGAGGAACTTCTAATGGCAGTCGATAAAGCTTGGATAGTTTTGTCTACCGACTGAAACAGGTAAACCCTGAAAACATCCAATTTACAGCTCAGGTAAACAACGATGTCCCCGCCTTGTCAACCGACGGGTCGATCAGACCTAAACAGTGCGTAGCCGCGTAAGTGTACTTCACCGTCCGTGATATCCTGAGACAACCACGTTTCAGTGTATGCAAGTATGTCAGAATGAGACCCGTCTACAAGCAGATCTAACTCACATCTTATTCCTTAGGCTAATCACGTTACCACTACCTGAAGGAATTCGGTATAGCCAATCCTGAATCGTGCGCTACCAGAACGTGCACAGGTAGAGCGGAAATGGACCGCCAGCCGACTACCTGAAAACCGACTAATCGGAGACCTTGTTCTCTGGCCACTCATCTGCTCTTTAGGTCCATTATGACTTCCTTTTATTGCAACCGGTTCACAAGCGGGAGGTCTGGCTGTACACTGATATTACTGCCATTGAGTCTTAATGCAGTAGCGCTTTGCGTCCCTTCGGGATAGAAAGAACTACATGCAGCAGACGAGGTTCAGGATTTGGCACGCCAACTAGGACGTTACCCAGTCTCATCAGTTTCCTAACAGTAACACCGAGCTAGCCCGGTGGAAGTAGCTTCGTCACACATCTTCAACCACTGAAGATCATCCGCCATGCGCTCGGCAAGAGGGACGGGTGTGGATTCCACCGCGTTACAGAAGATAACACTGCTATCCATATAAGAATAACCGCGACGGGTGTTTGCCCCGTGGGTTTTTTGATCCCATATTAACGCCACTTGGCTTAACCACTGGTGGTGACTGCCTGCTTTTTCTCAGGAGCCGCTGAAGCAACTGCAGCCTAGGTTTTCCCGCTACTTGTTGTCCCTTATCTCTTTTTACACCTGCTAGCCTGACAGATGGCTTACGGGCAGCTCTAGTGCTCTTCTTCCTCCGATTAACGCGCGTAGGAGCCGGTGTCCCACCGTCAGGTGTAGGGGAATCCGATACGTTATGCGAAACCACCTCGTCTGTGCCGGCCACCATGGGGGACACCTCCCACTAACAAGAAGGGGTGCATAAGAGAGCTGTAGTTTTACAACCGCTAATTCACATGTCGGATGACGACGGCGCTTGCTGTTTTCTCTCCGGTTTTACCATAACTTTTGCTGAGAGTTTGGCAGAGGGCTTTTTCAATTTCTTGGCCCTTTTTCGCTTAACCTTAGGGTGCTCACAAACCTGCAATTCAGCATTGCTGCGAGCATATCCAAACACCGCTACCCTCAGCAGCGTTATCAACGTGACCCACTGCAAGTCGGACGATTGACACGATAGTCGGTGTTGCAACTTGGCTGCCAATGTTTCCTGTATCGCAGTCCATAGGAGCACCATCACTGGGGACCGCAAGCGTTTTTATAATCCAATCCATCATATGATCAAAGTTGGCGTCCACTGTGAAGGCCACATTGACTGCTTGCTCCACCCTTTGTCGTCTGAAATCAAGGGCTTCGGCGTTTCTACCGACAAAAGCCGGACTGCCCTGCCGGCGTCCACAACAACTGCCGCAACTAAAATACAAACTGTCGCCGGTAGACGACATTGCGTATTGATCAGCAATCAGGCTAGTACACTGCTGGTGGTACTAGCGGTTGCAGTCGTCGCATTACATACCGTCAATCATCTGTTACTAGCCTATCGCTGCTAACCCTGCTGCAAGCAACATTAACCTCATCATACAAGAGGCCCTGGGGCGCATCCGCGTCGGTGCATGGTAAAACACATGATAAAGTAGAAAACGGCAGAATTTTGACACAGCAACAAAAAGGTAGAACCGGGGACAAAACTGGATTATACACTGCAAAACAGAAAAAAGCATCGACGGAACGTTTGGTACAGTACCACTGTAGTCGACCCAAGTAGGCTTGGATCTGGGAAAATTTGACAATACTCAAATTTCGTTTCACGTATTTATTCAAACACTGTCTTCCACAATATTTCAGCTAAAATACTCGATTAGTATGGCATACCAAAAATTCAAATTCCTACGTCAAGACCGAACTGAAATTTGTCACGGGTAATCTCTACGTGAGAATATTCTGATTAAGTCGCATTAATCAGTATAAGCTATGAAGGGACGGACGGTATTCACAGGGGATGAATGGTACGATCTTTATTTGAAATCGTTGCGGCTTTTGTCTATCCATCGTTCGATAAAAGTTTGATTGCGACCAACTTAAAACATCCTGCGGACTCAAGTCGAGTTATGCTGACAGTTTTTTTTTGTCTCCACCAGATCTGCTTTACAGTCTATGTACCTGATTTCGGCTTTCGTCTTACTAACTGGAAGATCTAACACGTTTCCCATTTGTTTTCATGAACCTTTTAGATCGCCTTCTCCAGAGCCAATATACAGCAGTGAAGGAAAACGGCTAAACACCAGGGAATACCGTACACGCAAAAAGATGGAGGATGAACGTCACAGTTTGGTGCAGCAGCTGATGGAACTGAACCCGGATTACAAGCCCCCTTCAGACTACAAGCAAGTTGCATATTCACACAACTCCTTAGGCCACCACAAAATCGGATCACCGATAAGGTGTTCATTCCTCAAGATAATCACCCGGATATCAACTTTGTGGGGCTTCTGATCGGTCCCCGTGGTAATACCCTGAAAGCGTTGGAGAAGGAAGTGAGTTTTGCACCCGCTGTTAGGGTGCTCTTACCACTCAGTTAACCTTCACATCGGGAACCGCTCACACACAAGTACAAATGCGAGCGTGGTAATGCTGGTCACTGTCGCTGCATCAAGTTCATTTACGATCGGAACAATCTTTTAACATTTCGTTTCTAGTTGCGCTGATCTCAGCTGACTACTCTGTCATCATTCGCACTATACCATTTTGCTAGTCTTAGGCTATCTACCTGGGAACCATATTCTTGAGCGCAAATTAGGTAGAATTACGATCTGCACTAAGCTGTGGTAGGGCGGCTTTCTATGCTTTGTTTTTATCCTGGCGACCCATGTCTGATAATCATGTTTCTCCTCTATACTCCACATTAACATTGTACTGAAACGATATATGGCTATCGTTCTGCTGTAGTCATCAGTTCAACTTTCAACCCAGCGAACCGCACTAACACATGTTTACATCGGTGTTATACTCTAATTCAAACTCAGCATGTGTCCAAGAGGCGCGAAATGTCTCTCACGGCATTATTGGTGTATTGCCTGTCTCCTTTCAGTACTAATAAAAATCACTCTGTGCTGTTTTTACTAACAGAACTGGAGGTAGCAAGACGAAGTCTTAGATTTACTACCATACTGAGCGTCACTCAGTTCCAGAATTTTGACACGCTTTAATCGCACTATACCCACAAGGAAATATGTTTCACCTCGTTACTTTTCTGCCATTTGGACCCCTGCTCTAATAGTAGATGCTGGGTCGGATGTTATTCCAGCCAAACTGTGCTTTGTCCTTTACATGCAGGTGTACTTCAGTGTCCCCAAAAGATAAAATCTTACGAGCTTAATAGGAACAGGTTATTATCTCTAGCTGATCGGTCAATCTTCGTTGCCATCGGCACTATTGTAGCTCATCTTAGTATGTCGACTAGCATCAAATTTCCACACTGTACGTGATGCTTTCGTTTGAGCAACCCTTTTTTCGGTGCTCGTATACTTCATTCTTGCTTCCTAGAGCTACTTGATCACCATCCGCATATCCTCACAAGGCATTACTTGTTTCATCGCTCTGATAACGGATAAACGCTTCCTGCCTGCTTCTCTCGAACAGGAGCTTCATGCATTCGAGGAGACGCGCCGCACATAGTGTCCTCATCGCCAACGCAAATGTGAGCACAAATTGATCACTGCAATACGATTCAGATGAGGAGACAGTGTATGGGATTGCAGTTCGATTTGATCCAATTATCTTGACTCAGACCACGCTCTTGTCTATGCAGACATGCACTGGGAGTTACTCGAAAACAAAGCACCTACATACAAACATGGTAGTTAGCTTATCTATTCAGCCGGATCTTCAGTCCTCATTATCAGATGCGTTCGCTAGTGCTCCATGTCACTGGCGTTTCTTGCACGCGTTACTTCCGGTCAATCATACTGTAGAATCACTGGGCGCCGTCTGAGTAACGAGCTATGTTCGCTATTTTGAATTGTTTGGCTGTTGCCTAGCTATCCCAGCTAATTTAAGCAACAGGGAAGTCCTTCGCAATCTCAGCCAACAACTCACGCGGAGCCTGCATAACAATCGCGAAACTTGGTGGTTTCAGAGCGCTTCAGGGATGAGGACAGCAGCTCTAGAAACTCGCAAACGTTTCCAGATTGTTCCAACCATTGGTCAGTGAGTCTATTTGCGAGGTTGATTGGTCACCAATTTGCTTGGGCACATGGGCCGCTGGGCTGAGGACTCAATTCGGTTGGCCTTCATCAGCCTGCTTAACAAGTATGCTTAATTGTGCGCCTTGGAACGTTTCAATGGGATCACCCACCTAAGCTGAGGTTTGCTTATAGTTTCGACGCTTGAAGCGACTCAAGGCTGCTAGCTCAGACTGACTTCCTCCCGAGCTGTTACAGTCGGTGAAGAGGAAATTGGCAGGTAGTTAACAGCTCTGTCATCAATTTTTGGTATGGAGCAAAGGTCCCATCTTGGAGAGAGTCCATTATCGTATCGATCTTCAAAATAGGTGCTCGCACCTTATGCGCCAACCCCAGAGAAATCAGCTTGATATCCGTCACCCCCAAATTGTTAATATCCATTCTACTCCGCAAGCTAGTACCGATTCGACGACCGCACTCCCTTTAAGAACAGGCTGGTTTCCACCCCGATCGAGAATGTGTAGACCATATGTTAACACTGCTCCAACTTCTCGAGCAGCGTCACCGTTACCGCCACTCTGCCATCGTCGCCTTTTTGGATATCTGAGCTGCTTTCGACTCGGTCAATCGGTCTGGTTTATGACGTCTGCAAGAGAGTGTGCATGTAAAGTATCTCCCCATCCCTCGAGCTTTATGCGGCCGTTACTAGCGATGTGCGAAAAGGATGCTCCAGGGTCCCGTTTCTCTTCAATTTTACGACTGAGGATGTTCTATTAAGCTCTCTGGAAGACTCCTAGAGTTCTGATGTAAAGCTTTTAGGCAAATATCCAGCCAACTCCGACTATGTTGATGCTATCGCCTTACTCGGTGACGAACCACGGATTATTCAGGTCATTATAAACTGATTGGCAAATAAAGCTATCATGTATGATATGACCTTTGCCCCACCACGTTCAAAGTCCTACTCCGGGATTGGTATCTGCCTGCCCCAATGCTTCTTCTTGAAGGCGCGCAGCTTATACAAGTAGATAGCTTCACCTACTTTGAGATCTGCGTATCTACTTATGGCATCATTGGAAGATAGATTTCTCTCCGTATTACCAAATATCTATCAGCTTTCGCTAATCTGCGTCGTCATCGAGACGTTTCACCCACGGTAAAGGGCAAGGTTTACAATGCCTTTTTCGCACGGTATGGATTTGTGTCCTGAACGATCGTCGGATTTCGACCTTTGATAATGATTATCCGCGAAGGATAGCTTGTGTGTGATGGGAACACCACCATTGCTGCGACGGCTAGACGTCACATCTTAGGTAATGCCGGCCTCTGCCTCGGCAAACTTATTTTTCTGCACTCATTGTGATGGCTGGGTCACGTCCTCCGCATGCCATTAAAGCGTTTACCACGGCGCGCTCTATCCGCTAGCGCTGGGTCGCGCTGGAAGAAATCGCGGTCATCATGCTACCACATGGCGACTAAACGTCAAGTCGCTGAATTCCAGCCTAGCTGTTATCGCCCCCGTACATCTTCCGGGCTGGAGAGTCAATGATGGAGTACATTACTGGTTAGAAATCTTTGTGAACATGGTGCGGAATAGGGGACAGTGAAAGGTTTGTGATTTTGCGAATTAACTCAGTAATCACTTAAGTGAAAAAAGAATAGAACGACTTGTGAAAAACGGTAATGTTTTTGTCCGTTTTCCTTTTCTGATTTTTGTACTTATACACACATTCATTCCATTATTTTCGATAACTCTATATCTATGTGTAGACATTTACTATTAACCGGTAAGCAGATGACTGACGGGGGGCCGAATATGAAGCCTTGAAAATGCTGATCGATTATTTCGGATCAAATGGCACACTTTATCAGTTTACGCAGTCCAGTCACCCACCATCATAGACTTACATCAGTATCGTGAGATAATTTCGTTACGTATCTGCCGGTTGCCGAAAGCATTAAACACGTGCCTTGTAACCTGAAGCTCACTGATTCGAATACTCGTTCATGCGGGAGACCTCGCGATTTACCCAGCCCTGGCGCAACCGGTAATGCTCGCGTGGCAGCGAAGTGTCGGTATGGTGTACCGGTGTGCTGTTGATGCATGTTGCGTGTATCAATGTTCCTCGTTGTAATCAACTCTGCTTAGCAGAAAACTTAACGCCGTGTACACAGTCCACTTGACGGACAGCTGCAAATGCACGACTGATACCAGTCACTAGCTGTCCCGTAACGTCGTGTCTAGCACAGGGTGCTCCATGAAATCCAGCGCGGAAAGTAACCTAGACCGGTAGTACCCACTCTTGTGGTAAAACCTTTCATTCCCCACTCTCCAGTGAGTACTTTCTTCTCCAAACCTTGGACTATCAAGCTTTATCGGTAAGCGGAGATTGGCATATCTGCTCAGACTAGTCCAGCTTATTCAATCGTGCTTATTGATTTGATGAACTTACCTTATCACCGACATCCGACGACGATAACGTCAGTGTCAGCACACGGTTTCACTTCCGCGCGGCCACCAGCAGTTCGAATCGATAACCCATAAAATACAGACCATACCTAAGCCATTTCGTCACAAGCAACGATGTGTAAATGCCTGATTGTGCCTAATCAACTCGGAATCTCCAGACTTCAGTGTTCCCAATGGGGTCCGGGATACACAGTTTTTACTCCCCGAGTGAGTGCCGCATATTCACAAAATCAGTTTTCGCTCATGGTACTGAAGCTACAAAAATTGCTATTTTGATCCCTTATCTTCAGTCTCTCCGTGCCAATGTTTGTGGGAAAAGCAAGTAGTTGATAGTTCTGCAACAGCACTGCGCTTCAAAGGCGCATGCGTGTAGGTGGGACAACTTCATACGTTATTCAGAATTGACTTTGTTGTCTGGGGGTTTTCAACTGACAAAACGATGTCTGTCTGATCCTTATCAACTTGCATTCTTGTGCGAAGTGCATCGACCCTGCTTGTGAAGCTTGATGAGTAAATTCGGTGAGTGCAAGGTAATGTTATAACCTGGAGTTCGCTGCTTGCCATCGTGGAATTGCCCGATGACTGTAGATTCTGACTCAACGGCTTAGTTACAGGTCCCTTGTAGTAGCTGCTCTCACGCGTCCAGAGCACTTAATAACCATTTCGTTCTGTCAATACGTTACTACTGCGCATTCCTTTTCTCCGCCAACAAGCTGAACTGATTGTGTTTGGGCATCAGCGGCTTTTGCGACTAAAACTGTAACTTTGGACCACCGCAATCATCACCATCATCATTACACGTTAGCTGGAGGTGGAAAACACCTCAGCTATTGTGCCGCAATACAAAATAAAAGCAAAGGAAAACAGTGACAAACAGTGGCAC